AACTGGTTGGAAGTGACAGGATTTACCCAATATTTATCAAGTCTAATCATTTCTTTATATTTACAGATTTTATCAAACTTTGTTTTTAAGTATAGTATTGTTTCTCTTTGTCTACAGCCAATTATAAATTACCATATTAACTGGTTGGAAGTGACAGGATTTACCCAATATTTATCAAGTCTAATCATTTCTTTATATTTACAGATTTTATCAAACTTTGTTTTTAAGTATAGTATTGTTTCTCTTTGTCTACAGCCAATGATACAGCAAATTATAAATTACCATATTAACTGGTTGGAAGTGACAGGATTTACCGCTCAACAGGTACGTAAGGGTTTCCTCCCCCTCATAAGAAACTAACCATGATATTATTGTTATGATTGATTAATGGTGCAACACTAAATACTTGTAAGCAAGCCTTTATGTAGTGACGTTCTAAAACTGTAACAGAATATTATGGTCTTGAGCTACGTAAACCACTATATTGATTTTTTTAGGGTCGGTGGTTCTACGCTTTACTCTCCTGTCTGGAGAAACCCCTAACTCCTGAAGCGTGTTCTTCTCTTCGGTCTTTGGCTAGAGCGTGTGCTAACTTACGGGCATCGTTAGTAAGTTTAGTTGAAACTTTCTTTTTTCAAAACTCGTCTGTTGCTGTTGTTTTTTGATTAAATAAAATATGAAATTTTTTCTACATTTTGGGCATTGAAGTAATTTTTTATTTAGAACTTAAAAAATCAATATTTGATTAACAGTGTTTCAATGTTGTGTATTTTAAATGGAAAAGTGTTTTTTAATATATCTTCATTAATTACTAAACGTGATCAGTGTGGAAAAGTTTTTTTAATATATCTTCATTAATTAACTAAACGTGATCAGTGTCGTGTAGAAAAAGCTAGGCTATCAATTTTTATGGATTTAATTAGCTTCTGAATGTCCAGCACTGTACTGTAAAATCACTGGAGGTGACAGAAGCAGACTGTATTATTCGACAATTATACACGTTTTACTGATAAAAACCAATACCATAACCCTACCAAAAACATATGCTTATAACAAAATCTTAAGTTTTCCGGAGAAGCATAAGTTCCAGAGTACATAATTTTGAAAACAGAACAAAATAAATAAAAAGGCATTTAAACTTGACACAAATATTAGTGTTTATAAACTTGGAAATCCTTCTACTACAAAAGTTCTGGAGTGTTTGGTTTGTTTAGTACGTGACTTAAAAGAACAAAGGGTCCTTCGTGATTTAAAGCTACTCCAGAAATCATTGTTACATAGTTAATCTAAATTTTATAACTTCAAAAAATAGTGTTTTTTGTTTATAAAGGTTTACATCTTACGCCAAAGATGTTTATTTGAAAAAGACAGAAGTAAAATATTGTAGGTAGGATTTTATGGACAATTATTATACGTACATTTGTTTACTGAACCCCTGAAGAATGTTGTTGTGTCAGGATTTTATGGACAAAGTCTGTTTAATGTTTGTTCATTATTGTACTTACATTTGTTTACTGAACCCCTGAAGAATGTTGTTGTTGTGTCAGGATTTTATGGACAAAGTCTGTTTAATGTTTGTTCATTATTGTACTTACATTTGTTTACTGAACCCCTGAAGAATGTTGTTGTGTCAGGATTTTATGGACAAAGTCTGTTTAATGTTTGTTCATTATTATACTTACATTATGTTTACTGAACCCCTGAAGAATGTTGTTGTGTCAGGATTTTATGGACAAAGTCTGTTTAATGTTTGTTTGTTTGTTTTGGAATTTTGCGCAAAGCTA